CGCGCTCGCCTCTCGAGGTCATCGAGAGGAATATGCGATCGGATATACCTGTCACCACAAGTCAGTACAATATTCGTCAACATAACATCAACCTTGACTTACTTCTCCCTCCCATCATCAATCGGATCATAATCCCAACTCTCAAACCGCCCCTTCGTCAACGCCCCCCAAACCAACCTCCTCTTCCTCTGACTATGCAACACCTCCTTTGTGATCCCCTCAAAGTCCCACTTCGCCCTCGCCTCCCTCTCAAACCCCTCAAAAACCTCTCTTATCTCCCCATCCGTCCTCACCACCCCCTCCTTGACCAAATCCCTGAGCTCCAGCGGATCCGCCACCAGATCATACAACTGACTCCCATCCGCCGGGCAAGTCACATACTTCCACCTCCCCCGCCTAATCATCATTAACGGCCTGACCGTCCCCTCCCCAGTATACTCTGCAAAAACCTCATCATGCCCCTCTTCACTCCTCCCCTCCAGATGCGGCAGCAAACTCCTCCCATCCATCGGCAACAACGGCCACGGCTTCGTCCCGACCAAATCACACATCGTAGGCAAAATGTCCAACGTGCTCACATTCTGACTCACCCTCCTCGGCTCAAACTGTCTAGGATGGCTCACCAGCAACGGCACCCGGACCGAGCTCTCAAAATACGACATCTTGTACCACAGCCCCCTCTCCCCGAGCATATCTCCATGGTCACCCGAAAAAATAACAATCGTGTCCTCGTCGAGCTTGAGCTGCTTGAGCAAAGCGAGGAGCTGGCCAAGGCAGTCGTCGACGTACGAGACCGCGCCGTAGTACGCCCTGCGGGCCCGCTTGATCTGCTCGTCCGAGAAGGGGTTGTCCCACAGGTCGCAGACCTTGAGCAGGCGCTTGGAGTGGGGGTCTTGGTCCTCTTGGGGGATGACGACCTGGGGGAGGTCAATGTCGACACCTTCGTAGAGGTCCCAGTATTTTTCCTCGATGGTGTAAGGGTCGTGGGGGTGGGTTAGGGAGACCTGAGAAAGTGACGTTAGCATGCGGTTCAAAAAAACAACCAGTCGGTTTCCCTGGATCATATCCCCCCCCCAACCCTTTGCTACCCAACGGCCACTAGCCGAGTAGACATATGCGGGGGACCCTCCCACGCCCGTCATGCACGACGGGACCCAACTCCCATGCCGTAACCACCCGCCCGGGTCCTGTGGGGGTCACCACTTATACACCTTGCCCCCTTCCCAAAAACAACAAAAAAAATCAAACTCACCGTCAAAGCAAACGGCCTCCTCCCCCCCTCCTCCTCCCTCACATAATCATACAAAAACTGTTTACTCCTATACATGACCTCCTCATCATAATCCAACTGATTGCTCCTCACGCACGTCCCCGCCTGCAAAATGCTGCTCGCATTATGATACCACTCCAACCTCGTCTCCGGCTCCTCCCAGTTCGGCACCCACCCGAAATCCCCAGGGTAGATATCGCTCGTCAGCCTCGTCTCGTAACCGTGCAGCTGGTCCCCGACAAAGTGCATCTTGCCCGCCAGCACCGTGTGGTACCCCTTTAGTCTCAAGTAATGGGCATACGTGGGGATGTCACTCGAGATCTGGGCCGCGTTGTCAAACGCCCCTATTTTCATGGGGAGCTGGCCCGTGATCATGCTCATTCTCGAGGGGCCACACAGCGGGGAAGGGCAGTAGGCCGAGTCGAACTGGACGGATCTTGCTGCCAAGGCGTCGAGGTTGGGGGTGCGGATCTGGGAGTTGGGGTTGTACATCTTGAGCAGGGGGGCCGCGAGCTGGTCGGCCATGACGTAGAGGATGTTGGGGCGTTTCTCTTGTTGTCCGCCATGGTGGCCGTTGGAAAAGTAGTGGCTATTGCCATTAGAGGTTCCCCGGGTGCTGTTGATTGGTGGTGGTGGTGTTGGGGTGCTGTCAGCGCCGGGAAGCGAGTTGAGATCGGGTGACATTGTGTAGTATGTCCTTCCTTCACAACGAGTAAGATGTCGAGGTGTGTGTGAATAAGCTAAGGGGGTTTGGCTTGTCGTCCTCCCACGTATCCCAAAGTTACTCAGCCCTATGAGGGCGTGGTGGCCTCGAAGAAGACGAGGAATTGGCTAAGCAAGTCTCGCCAAGAATCCCCCAATATCAAGTTGGGAAACTCCCACTGCGTGTAAGTGGACCGAATAGGCAATAACTTCTTTGATGTCGACGGTGGCGTCGTTCTTGTTGCGTGGGGAAGCCACTAGTGTGTGCTAGTAAATAAAAGAAGGGAAAACGAAAAGAGAAACCCCCACGAAGAACGTGAAAAGGGGGGTATAAACGTCTCAGGAAAGTGTGAATGTGGGAAGGGGGCAGGTCGGATTTGCTCGCAAGATCACGCAACCGCTTCGTTGACGCAATCGTGGGACAGCTTACCGATATTGCGCCATCGAGAGACGGGATGAGAAAAGCACAGGAAAGGGCACCGCACTCCATTTATTTCACACCGCAAGCCAAACCTCCTGTCAAGTTGTCAATGCGCAAGCACACCGAAAAAAGGAGCTCGGGGGACCGCTGCAATGCAGCAGACCATTCGGACGAGGGAAGAGAGATAGTGGACCTGCGATTCTGCTGTAGTGTGATCCTTGGCGTTGCTGGCAACAGTTCCTTCAAGAGCCAGACCGCTCGCTACTCTTCCTCCTTCTTGTGACTCGTGAAACTTTCTCGTAAAAGGCGGCAGTGAAGGGCCATGAGTGGTGGACATGTCCCAAGCGTGGCCAACAAAGAGAATGGAACAAGCCGAAAAGCATGGCGTTGATCATGCACCCCAGAAACCCTATTGTGAGCTTTGTTCAAGTGCTAGCGTCACGCACATCACGTTCCCCCAGGTTGAGAGATTCATATCTCTATCAAAAACATCTTATCAGACCCTTCCCGCGTCTGCCGATGCAACATGGACTTCCCAGATCATGTACCTTATCTTTGATGGGCAACCCAGTCAAAAATCCATTAATTTTGCAAGTTGCATTTTGTGCCTGTGCAACTCTCTGCGGGGAATATCGGGGTTCATTCCGAAGCCGAATGAGGTCTGGACCGCAGACACTTCATGCCCCAACCACTTCGATATCGTCGTGATCTGCTTGTGTCTCTTGCATATGATACTCCGCTCACCGGAGCCGCGGAGCTCTTCCGGGGTGTTTCCCCAACGCTTGCTTGTACTCGGAAATCCGTGACAGGCCGGTTTTCTCGCTGCAGCTTCCCAGACCCCATGTCGAAAGATCGGATGATAGCTTGTACTGTTTCGTAAAAAGATGTGTCATTCACATGAGCCCGTCACTTGACCATTTTCCCTGTGTCGCTGTCAAAGAACCCTTATTATACAAAAAAAGAAACAATTTGGGCAAAAAACCCAAGGAACCGCTACGGATACCGACACTGTATTGCCCAAATAAGAGGTCCGACAGGAACCCAAAGCACCTAAATAAAAGATCCGATGGCGACCAAGAGCAACCATTGAAAGATCCGGAACGGGAGCAGGATACCGGGGAGAAGAAGCCCGGTGATAAACGAAGTCCCCCAAAACGAAGCCCCGATGGTGATCTTGACTGCCCAAAAGAAAAGCCCAACAGTGGTACAAGGAATGATCCAGAGGACACAGCGATTCATAAACCCTCCTTGAGATCTATAGCCTGAATACTCTTGAAGAAAGGGATTTTGCTCCTAACCACGGCGGCGTGTCGTGGGCCCCTTGCTGCGAGGTCTCGCGGTCGAGCTCGCCGCTACTTCGGCGTAGGAAGGGGTGAGAGAGCTGTTAGCGGGAAGAGCTTCCTTACGCTTGCCCTTAGCCTTCGCCGAGGGCGCATTCCAGTAGTAGACCATCTGGAGTGCCAACACCAAGTTGAGAGCGAAGCCAGCTACGAAACTGTAGAGGATGACCTTATCGTCCACCTCTTGGAGTGTGGTAAAGATGCGGGTAAGCGAACCGAGGAGGTAGTTGAAGACCTGTGTGTCCACCACTGTCAGCACATGGCTCTCCCAATTCCACACTGTAATCACCAGACAAACTTACAGTAAAAGCACTGAGCTGACCAGTGCCTCCCTGGCTCCAAATGGCCGCGATCTGGGGAATCTTGCTGGCCACACTCATGCCTCCAGCTCCAACCTGCAACCAACCCAACTCCTTCATGCCCAAGGTCTGCTCGCTGAACAGCGTAACGGCACTCGCAGCCAGGGCAGCAACAAACAGCCCCGCCATGCTAGCCTTCCCACTGTAGTGCAGGACTAGAACTGTGATGAGCACATTTTGGACGAGGACCATCGCCGTCTCGCCATAAGTGCTGAAAGGGAACCCGTTCCGAACATTGTATGCCAGGCTGATCAGGTAGGACGAGGTCTCGAGAAGGTAGGCAAGGAAAGAGACTCCCGAGGCGGACTTCGACTTGAGAAGCTTCACAATCTGCGGGACCTTGACGATAGCCGAGGCGCCGACGATGCCAATTCCAAGACCCTTGCTAATCGCGTACTTGAGGCATTCGGTATCTTCGACGTCAATGTCGAGGAGCAGAGCTTTGTAGCACTTGTCCCCGATAATCGAAACACCCAGGTCCCGGATCGGCGCAGGGAGGTTGTGAGTTATCGGTTGGAGGGCGGTGCGTACGGCGTCCATTTTTGCTGTTTCGTTGCGAAAAAAAAGAAATGATCAATAAACCGATATATCAACTGTCGTCTGAAATGATTGTACGAATCAAGAAGAGAAAAGTGCGCGGTAGACTTCGCAAGCTGCAGCTGTCAAAAAAGAGCTGTTGGGCGGAAAGTTGAAAGTAAATTGGACGCGACGGAAAAGTGCAACGTCATGAAATCACCAGTTTCCCCGAGGGAGGAGAGCTCCACACTCTTCGGGGCCGGGACCCACTTTATTGCGCCAAGGCCGGGCTCCTTCCTTCACCACAGCCGGAAGGAAAGGACCGGAGTGCAAAGGCAGGAGCGGTGGCAGATCATTACGGTAAATCAAGTTAAAAAAAAACCAAAAGGAATTGGACGTACCGGGATTCGAACCCGGGACCTTCTCAGGGAGCATTGTATCATTCGAACCCTTTCACCTGTTATATGATTGTAACAGTTTCAAGGCAACGAACATTCTTTGCAGCCGAGACGTCTTGACCACTAGACCATACGTCCTGTTTACTGGTTATCGTGTGGAACCAATCTGGATCTTATAACCTTTGGTTTCAGGTATTGCGGTTGCCTAGGTAATGTTGTTGCTCGTCAACGAATAAACAGGGACGTCTGAAACCAGTGCCAGCTGTTGGAGAGTGTCGTCGTCAACACCCACCATCCCGATCTTAGGCATGCTTGCCACCTGAACAATCGCCCCTCCTCTTCCTCACAGCCAAGCTACTCCAAAAGCACCCATACTATTTGTCGTCAGGGAGCTCCTCGAACCGTCCCTCCCGCATGGCCTGCTCCACGGGATTCTGCACGTCGATGATGCCGGTCTGCTTGAGCCTTTCAAACAAAACAAACAACCTCTCCGCCTCCCTCTCCTTCTCCTCGTCCGTCATCTCCGGTAGCTCAGACACTCTTTCCGTATCCAGGAACTGTCCAGTGATAGGGTTGACCGGTCTCCTGATCTCCCTCACCCCATCCTCGCCTTCCACTTCGGTTTCACCACCCTTGCTCATTTCCTCTGGCGTGAAGCTGATGTTGTTCTGGAACAAAAACCCAGAAGCATACCCATACCCAACATTCTTGACAAACTTGTGCGGGTCCTTATCCGACAGATCAAAGTACAAGTGCGCAATCGCTTTGCCTAGCTCTGGGGCTTCGGGGTTGGACCAGTTTTGCAAGAGATGGCCGTGCAGAGTGTCGGCCTTGCCCAGGGCATCCTCCCGGTCCTTTTCTGTCGGTAGAAGAGCAGACTGGATCGACTGTTTAACGGAGGCCGGGGCATGTTCGTAGACAAGAGAGAGGGCGCAGACCAAAGGAGTGACGATTTGTTCGAGATCGGGGTTCTTGTAAGCTTTGATAGAGAGGGAGAGAAGCTTGATAAGGCGGTCCGAGAAGCTCGATGGTGAGGCGGCGGGGTAGAGATACTCTTTCGCGGTTGGGGTAGACAGGTCGAGATTTAGTACGGCGTTGACTGCGGGTCCAAAAGGGGGGCCAAGAGGGGTCCTGCTCTGAGGGGATGGTAGGTCAAAACTACACAGGATAGTGATAATGTGGGGAATTGCTGCTTCGAAAGAGGCGAGATGATTAGGACAAAACTGGCTGACGTTGAAGGTAAGCTTGAGGGTTTCTTCTAGGGCCATTTGATCCATGGGGTTCGCGGCGGTCGTTTTGCTTGTCGAGGAAAGTCGTTTGGCATGTCTCGCGAGGTGGTTGACTATGGAGTCCGCCAGGCCATGTTGTGTGATGAGCTTGGGGAGGTCGATATTGGTGTTGTATGTCGAGATGAGAAGCAATCTAGACACAAGAAACTCGTCGTCGGAGTTGTCGTTCTTCAACTTTTCGCTTGCCTTGGCTGCGTATCCAGTATCGACAAATCTTTGTCGCGTCTCTGGTTTGAGAAGAAGAGCATTGCAAAGTATCCTGAGAGCACCGCGCGAGGTGTTGACGGATGAGCTGTCAAAAGCATGCTTGACTAGTGTTTCGATGCCCTCCTTGGTGAAGATGGGATCCGCATAGTTGGGGTCTCGGCCATATATCTTCAGTTCTTCAAGTATAGACTCTCGTCCTGTATCAAACTCATTAGACGCGACCTTTAGCGCCACTGGAAAGAATAAACCAACGTTGAGGTGTTAGGGAGCCAGTTTCAAGATCATCTGTCAGTGACCCCAAAAGCTGCTTCACAGCATTCAGTTTAGCTACAAACACGTTAGCCTTAAGCTCATTAGATAGCAATGCGGCAGTGCCACTCACCAGACCCTGTGAGTCTGCCGAAAGAAACAGATTGTGCCATATTAGCTGTGTTAGAGTTGGGAATTTGGTTCTAGGATCGGATGTCGCAAGGGTTGGCTTTGAGCTCAGGAGCAGGCAGATGGTGGGTGATGAAGAACGCTTGATAAGCTGAGGCCCCACTTTAGAAAATGGCCTGGCTGAAGATGTGTTGGCAGTGGCTTTGGATGCGATGATAAATCATAGAAAGAAAGTCACCTTCATAACTGGTTTATTCCAATTTCCAAGATGCTCATACTGGCGGTCTGAATCTGAAAGAGGGTTCCAGGTTGTCGACGATGCCGCCATGGACAGTGCCGGGTGGGGTCAACTCAAAGGCAACTGTCAAGTATGTACATATACATAGGTACATAGCCGTCGCCAGGGAAACACTAACCAAACACTTCAGATTTGTCTACTTCGAGCTGGTACTTGTCCATATCAATACCAGGCCAAGTATAGCCGACTTAGAGCACATTGGAACACCATAATAAAAGATTTGATCTCTTCATCATGTTCAATTATTACATGGCACAAGTAGCTGTTGGAGATGCGTCTCCAAAGAACAAATGGGGCTCGACCCCAGAAAAGATGGGGGCTGAATAGTGGGGCTGCCGCCTTTGACAAAGTGCAGTCGCGACCTGACGCGTCCAAGGACCGGGGGACAGGGGAGACATAGCGCGACCGCGTTAAAAGTCTTAATTGCCCAAGATCTTCCAGCGGCTCAACCACATAGACACATTTGCTGTACGACCAAAGCCGACATCACGCTCTTTACCGTCTTTTTGTTGCTGGGCCGCCTTTTCATCGCAACCATCGCCAGTTCTGTTTTCTAAATGTGTCTGCCGTTCTGTCAGTCTTCGGTATTCAGGTGACGGGTCGCTAGGTCTTTGGGTCTTTGGGTCTTTGGGTTTCCCTCCATCGCTCTCGGCGCAGAGCCTCTCTCGACAGTTCGATCCGCCGAACATGTCATCTCCTGCCGTCCTATCTACAGCCCTCAGTATTCTGCCCCCACGACCACCCACTCCCCCGAGAGAAACACACCATGAGCCTTCCGTCCCATTCAACCATACCCTTGGTTCTATCCAGTCCGTCCATACTCCACCGGGGCACCAGTCCCCAAGTTCCTCTACCACAACGAACTCGACCTCGCGCCGTCGCAAGAAGGTTGGATTCTCCGCTCAGGCCGAATACAAGGAGGCACCCGTCTACGGGGAGGGAGGCACAGTGAAACAGCATCCTACGCCGGTATCCCTTCCTCGAAGTGCGTCAAAGCCCGTTAAATCGATTCTCAAAATAACGAACCACGTCCCAAACCTTCTCGACCCATCCAGCAGCAACTCCTGCGATCCATCGAACCCGAATGTCAACCTCGCTGCCATGCTCGAGTCAACGATCCAACAACTGGCGGGCGGCGACCGTGAGTCGAAAGTGGATTCATACGAGATGTTGACCCGGGCGCTCAAGACATCGAATAATCTGCCAGACCGCGTGGCCTTGCAAGAGAAATTGGGGCTTTTCATGCAGTTTATCCAGAGAGATATTGTCTCTAGGACCTCAGAATCGGCTCTGGATTCCATACTCGTGAACCACGCCCTTAATATGCTCATCACCTTTCTTCACTTTCCCGCCATCGCCTCCTCCATAAGCAATGATTTTGGCACTTTCATTGTCGACCACTGCATTCGGTCCTTCGAGGACCCTGCCACTCCCAAAGATATCGCTCGCCGTCTTATGCAGGTTTTGTCTGTACAAAACTTTCCAGCAAGAGTTATCACCGCTGAGAGAGTCGGGAGAATAGTGGCGTCATTGCGCAGGATCGAGGAACACCTTACAGGAAAGAGCATCGTCTTGTCCCGCATCTTCATTTACCGGAAGCTGGTCAAGCAATCGAGGCAATACATGATCATTCACTCAGACTGGCTGATGGATCTGTTTACCGATATGCTCAGTAACCTGAAGGAAATTCGATCATCGGCTATTTCTTTTGGTCTTGAACTGGCCTTTACCATCGGGCACGAAAAGTCGTTGTCAAGAAAGGTTGTTGAGATTTTCAACACCAGCTCAGGGGACCAAAAGTATATCCAGTACTACGAGGAAAGACTCCAGGCTATGACCAAAGAGAAACAAGACTCTGTCGTGGTTCCAGATATCTGGAGCGTGGTGCTGTTACTGCTTCGTATTCCACTCGAAAAGTGGGATCATTACCGCTCCTGGCTCCAACTCATCCAGAACTGTTTCAACAGCACCGACTTTGCCACGAAAATCGCCGCCAACCGTGGCTGGAACCGCCTTACCTACTTCGTCCAAACCGACGATCGGTCGCTTAGCAAGAACATTTCGACTCTGGTTACCCCCCTCACAGGTCAGTTGGGGAGGAAAGGTCCTGGAAAGATGACTGAAGAGTTGCGTCAGGCGGTGCTTGGGTCTATATGCAATCTTTTGTACTACACGTTCAAACCGAACACCAACCCAGGGCTCTTAGATCGATACTGGGATCGTACCGTCAAGCCTATCGTTGAGAAACTTCTCGATCCAGCATCCGACGCTGCTGCCGACAACCTCCAGCAAGCCACTGCCATCCTCGCTGGACTGTTTGACAGCACGACACCGCGGAGATGGAAGGAGGAGCGCATTCAGGAAAACACGCATCTGAAGCCGAGCGAGCTTCCACCTCTTGATTCGAAATGGGTCCGACACAATGTTGGAAGGGTCTTCCCTCTGGTAGGAAACATCCTCGAGCGAAACTTCACTGCTCTCGCCCAAACGAATACGACGACGTACAAGCTTTGGGACACTTTGGTGGTTACTGTTGCTTCTGCCGCGGCTAAGGAGATCAAGGTATCAAAGGATACCACCAGCTTTCTCACAGAATCTTTCAATATTTTGCAAAACGTGTGGAGGCAGGGGGTTCCTGAGGGGAAGGGATCAGAGTTCCTCCTCGCCGCGCAATCGTACTTGAAGCTCATGCTCAGCTCTCTGGGACCATTGCCGTTCATCGAGAAGCCCAGCAAAGCCCAAGGGGCCTTGAAGGCTCCTCTGTACACGCTCTTTTCTAGCCTGTCGACACTTCCCCCTGGCGTATTGGACGACCAGGATTATGCGGATTTCATGGGTCAAATCTTTGCCCCTTTCTTCGCCTCAAAGGCTGACAAGGCAAAGATGGACCTGGCACAGGATCTTCTTGCAACCATTCCTCAAGAAATACCTCGCCCTTGGGGGACGTGGCAGCTTGTTGCTGAACA